GGTTTTGACTGACCCAGTAACTTTTTTATATCAAGATTCACTTGTATATTGGTGCAATTTCTCGTTCCTCCCACTTCATGTTCTTTTTTTTCTTTTTGCTATAAAGAAAAAAAAAGTAACAGCACAGAAACTAAAAACTGGTCAAATTGGTTTTTATACTATAATATATGAGTAGTTTTTCTTTTAAGAAAATGATACGGTTAGATAGTTACGTGCTTATAATGAAATAGAATATATGCTGCGGCAGTGACGTCGATCTGACATCAATCATCGATCCGGCATCGATCATCGACCCGATGTGGATTATCGACCAGTACTTTGGGGGGCCGCCCTGATATACTCTTCAAAAGATACCAAAGAAAAAAGAAAATCTTCTTTATAAAAGAGTGAATATATGAAAAAAGAAAAAATAAGATAACAAGATTTCTTAGAATCTGGTTGAATAGCAAGATGAAAGAAAAAGCAATTAAAGCCAAGACAAAAAAAATTGTATGATCGATATCTAAAGACCTTATTATTAAAAAGATGATGATCAGTTAAGTGTTCTATATAAATAATATGTATATAATTCCTAAATTATGCTACATGTTGCAGATCACAAAGATGTCTAAAAAGATAATTGCCAATATGCATATACTATTGTTACAAATAGCAAAAAACAAGATAAAGATTGCATGTTTGATAAGAACAAGTATAATATATTATAGAAGCCTAGATAATTGTTTTTCTCTATAAAACTAGCTTTTACTTAAACATATTACAAGCCTATATAATCATTTTAATTCAACTGGTTGGAAGGAGATATTAACTAAAATAAGAATTAAAGAAGAACTTCTCTTTGTTAGTACTTCAGAAAATAACTGGTATAAAGAAACTTTAGAAATATATTCAAAAATTTGGAGAAACAATTTAGCATGCTTAACAATGTTAAGAACAAAGAACCTAAACTTTGTAGCAGTACCAACCTTTCAAAATTTAACTAGAATTGAAAACTTTGTATTATACTAGAAAAACTATTTACAGCTCTGGTAGCAAATAGTTTTAAAAGTCTTAACTTGACACTTATTGACCAACTACTATATCCAAGAGAAGAATGAATAATAACTTGGCAACAACTTAAATTTTTTAGAAAAGGAACAAGCAGGAGCAGAACAGCTAAATAATTTAAGCAAATTGAAGAATTAATATTAGAAAATCTTCAAAACAGGTTAGTTAAATCACAATACAGAATAGAGAATAACAACAGATGGTTTCTGAGAACCTATCTGACTAACTTTATAGCAGATAATTGGATTAAGAAGTGGATAATCATAAAACTACCAAAGAATAAAGAGAACCCAAAACTAATAATCACACAGATAATCTCAAAAATACCAAAAAAATTATAATAAAACATTGAAACTTAGATGATATACACAATACAAAAAACTTATACTAAAAAAATGTACAGAATGTAAATCAAACTAACAAGAAGCAATCAAATATTGTGAGAAATAGTATCACAAAAATGAAATCTAAGGATCTTTACCTGCCTTTATCAAAGAAAAACAAATTAAGATTAAAGATTTCTATAAACTCAATTAAAGTATAATATAAAAGTAAAAAAGCAAAAGTAACTGAAAAAGAATCTTGATATATAAAAATTGTTAATTATGATCTAGACACAAAGATGATTCAAAAACAAAATATGTCACCCAAACTTAAAAAAAATTTGATTGAATAGAATTAGAACAGTCAGTTACTAACATATAAAGATCTAACTTTTTATATTAATTAATTATTGCAGCAAACAAAAAATAATACAAAAGACCCAGATCATATAGGTATAATAAACAAACAATAATTGAAGAAGGCTTCACTAGAATAGAGAATTGGCTTATCAACCAAACCAGAATTAATAGCAATCTGATTAGCAATTCTTGTAATATTAAGCAAAAGGAAAACTAAAATATATACAAATAGTATAGTAGCAATTGTGAGTATAGAGAAAGGAATGAGTAATCTTTTAAGCAAGCAATGGTTAAGACAGAAGAATTATAATTTAGTATGTAGTATTATAAAGTTAATTAAGGTAAAAAAATTTAATTAGATTTAGTCAAAATTAAAGATCATAGCAATATTAGGTAAAATGATAAAGCAGATAGTTTAGCAAAACAAGATACTATAATAACAAATATAGATAGAATTATTTTTAACCCCACTAAGATCAAATATTTCACTATATTGAGATGGAACACTTATCAAACACCTAGTAAGACAAGTAATCAAAACACTTCTAGACTTCAAAACAGACACAGACTCGAAAGAATCTAAAGCAATACAGAAAATAGAGCCAAAAGAGGATCTTGAAACTAATAAATAAACTTATTTTTGGAAGTGAATCAAAAGAAATAGTAAAGTTAGATGTACAATATTAAAAAAGAACAAATACTTTAGAGCTCTAATTAAATGTGTTAATAAAAGATTACCTGTAATTCAGATACTAGCACAAAGATGCACAGACCTATATTAAGACTCAAATTGCATAATATATAATAAAAAAGTTAAAGAAGATCAAGATCATCTAGTAAGCTGCAGAGAACAAGAAAATAGCTAGAGAATTGCAGAAAAACTAGTAGCAAATATAGTATAAGCAGCCCTTCTAGAGAAAACACAAAAGAGAACAAACAAAGACTTACTCAAAAAAACTCTCTGAAAGATTCAAAAAAAGAATCTCTAAAGCAAGGCCGAAAGCAATTAAAAAACTAATTCAAGAAGACAAGCCAGAGAAAATACAAGAAACTCTACAATTGAGAAAAGATACTAAAATCTACATCAAACTTGCTATAAACACAGTTTGAAACTGTTTTTATAAAAATATATAGACAAAAATATGAAACAATACAGAGTAGTGTTTGTAGTCGATCCAAATTTATTGACTAGACTAAGTCGATATTTAAAAATCAGCTTAGCCAGCTAAGTTGTAGTTGATCATTCTAATTAGTTAATTAAAGGCATGTTAGTTAAAATAGATATTATTGATATATACGTACTAATATTTACAGTCAATCATTATTTATCGACTTGACTAAGTTGATATTTAAAACTAAAGTTGATCATCTTTGTTTTAATTTTGTCTTGTATTTTATATTCATTGAATTTTTTTTTTAAAATTTTTGTGAAAGAATAATGTAAACTACCAAATTGGCCTAAATTTGATTGGTTACTATAATTTTTAATATAGTCTAACATAATGTCAACTAAGCTGATTTTTTGAAAAATCAGCTGACTAAGCCCAGCTAAGCTGATAAAAATTGACTAATATAAATTAACTACAAACACTAATACAAAGATAGGAAATTAGTAGAGGTATTACAACTAAAGAAAAATATAATAGCAGATCAATAAAAAAAAAAGTCAAGCCCAAGTATAATTGAAACAGAATTACAAGAAAAGGGTTTAAAAATCAAAACTAATATGAAAAGATTGGAAAGAAATATTAGATTAAAGGAAGAAAAAGAGTAGGATATAAAAAGAATAGAAAATAGATAGTTTAATAATTTTAGAAAATTAATTCAAAATAGTTGCAAACCCTTTTGATATAGTTTATGCAGTTAATTTGATATTAGCTTTCTGATTATAAAACAAACTTTAACCAGTGCAGAAACTGCTTATAAGATAGCTGGAGGATGTTGAGCCTAAATATTACACAGGTCGAATGAAGCCATATCGGGAGTATGTATGTCTAGTAAATATTAGGAACATATCGGGTGTCCTGATATTTCAAGTAAATATCATAAGGATATTGGCATAATCGATAGGCCTATCAGATATCCTGATAGGCCTATCAAAATGTTTATAAATATCCCGATATGTTTAACGAATATAGGTATAAAATCGGTAAAATATCAAACAAGCGATAAAACTATCGATTTAAACTGATATTTCTTTAATTTTTATTTAGGTATATAGTATATATTATTATGTACCAGAAACGGAGTAATATTGAAAATTTCACGTAGTGTATGGTTATATGGCAAATTAAATGCCGTTCATACACAAAATCTTGCATCTTATCGGGTATATATATATGGCAAAGCAAACTTCGCATGTTACACATCTGAAGTAACACTTGCTCCTATATTTTGTGTTGTAGTATAAGATTATTAGTTGTGCAATACAGTAATTTATTTTTTCATGGTCATTTGATCTTGATTGCTGTTATCGTTATACCATTTTGTATATATAGCGATAGATGATTCTGGAGATCTGATTTCTATTTCTGTATTATTAATTTTGATCTATCGTATGATTCGCATTTACTCTATTTAGAGCTAAACAAGTAATCGTATATTTATTTTTTTTTATTTTATTAAATATTCAAGTCTAACTACTATCAATTTCTTCTGTTCCTGATTTCACGCAATGATGTCGACTGATGTTAACTATGATTAAGATTGGCGATCATATAAAAAAATTTTATCTACCATATTTTTATATTTTACTTTGGACTTCGCTTCTGAAGACTCTTCTCTTTTCGCTTTTAATACTGTATGTTTAATATACTAACTTTCTTTCTTTTCCTTTCAGGATTCTTGGCTCCTCGTTTCTTTTGGCTCCTCGTTTCTATTGGCTTCTCATTTCTATCAGCTCCTCGTTTCTATCAGCTCTCGTTTCTTTCAGCTCCTTGTTCCTTTCAGCTCCTTGTTTCTTTTGGCTCCTCGTTCCTTTTGACTTCTCGTTTCTTTCAGCTCCTTGTTTCTTTCGGCTCCTTGTTTCTATCGGCTCCTCGTTTCTTTCAATTCCTCTTTCTTTCGACTCCTCATTTCTTTCAATTCCTCGTTTCTTTCGGCTACTCGTTTCTTTCGGCTCCCATGGTTAGATCTTCGAAATGGACTTTCCCCAGCATTCTTTCTTATAAGTATTCTTGCTTTTTTTTTTTTAGTTTATAATTAATTTACTAACCTCATTCTTTTTCTTTAGGTTCAGCTTCCTCATTTCTTTCAGCGTTATAGTTAGATCTTCAAAATGGACTTTCCCCAGCATTCTTTCTTATAAGTATTCTTGTTTTTTTTTTTTAGTATATAATTAACTTACTAACCTCATTCTTTTTCTTTAGGTT